TAATAGTTAAGTAATAATATTAAGATTATAGCCTTAGAGTAAATAACTAAGATCTACTACTATTACTAAATAAATTTAAAAGCACTAGGTTACTTTAAGTTTACTTTATAAAGTAATAACTATAACTTTAACTATAAAGTTATTATTAATATTATTTACCTTAATAATAACTACCTTGCTTTATATATTATTAATACTATAATCTTTTTTTAAGTAGCCTATTTTCTTATTAATATTACTATAAAGTATACCTAGGAGGCCTTATAAATATACTAGATTAACGTTTACCTTAGACTACTAGACTAGATTATTACTAATATTAGCCTAAACTTTTATACTAGTAAATTTAAGTAGTCTACTAGATTACTCTATATTAATATTAAAGAAATACTAGTTAAAGCCTATAATAATATTAGTAAAGTTAAATAGTACTATATACCCCTATAATAAGTATATAATATCTTATATAGTAAAGAGACTAAGCTAAAGAAAGCTTTTTAGTTAGCTAATAAAGTAGTTAATAATACTACTAGTCTAAATAGCCTTATACTTATACTATTAGTCTTTAGTGCTTACTTATAAGTCTTTAACTTATTACTACTTTTACTTACTTTAACTAAAAGGGCTAAAGTAGTAAAAAAAGTAATAAAGGCTATATACTAAATCTATCTAAAAAGGTAAATTAGTAAAATAATAGTAATATATAATAGCCTAGATATTTTTATAACTATAGTACTTTCTCTTAAATCTAAGGTCTATATATAGTATAAAAAAGAAAGTTAATAAAGACTTTTTCTCTTTATTACTAATAATAGTACTAACTATACTATTAATTTACCTTATAGCCTAAAGACCTTTTAGTTAACTATTATTAAACTATACTTTAAAGAAGCTAGTAATTCTCTATTTATAAAGGTAAATAGTAATAGTAGTAAAAGAACTTAATATATACCTATAAAAGAAGTATATAATACTATTATAGTTAACCTTAGCCTATAATAATAATAGCCTAAATAAAAAGTTAGCTACTTATAAAAGTATACTAACTTTACTAATAAAACAAGGCTTTATATAGCTACTTTCCTTAATATATATATATAGTAAGTAGCCTAATATAGTAAGTAGCCTACTTCCTCTTACTTTCTACCTCTTTAACCTTTACACTAATATTCTTCTATATATAAATATATAATCCTCTTTAATTAAAAGCTATATTATCCTTGCTATCTAAGCTATTAAAAAAGACCTAAAAATGTCTATATAAAAGGTAGCTACTATCTTTAAGGTCCCCTAAAGTTTACTTTATTACTAACGTAATGGAAAGACTAGATATAATATATAAACCTATAAGGTAGTTTAGGATAATAATAAAGAAAACAGTAATAAGTAGTTTTAATTAATTTTATATATTATAGCTTAATTAACTTATAGAAAAGATAGAAAGGTAGAAGGAAGTAGGCTACTTACGATATATATATATTATAGTAATAGCTACTATATATATTATAAGTAAAAAGAAGGCTAACTAGCTATTAGTAATTAATCTATATAAGAAATATATTATTATAACTATAAGAAAACCCTTTAAGTAAGCTAATATAGCTAAGATTAAAGGACTTATTACCTATAGTGTTTTTAATTTATTTACTATTATAAAGGCAAGTATAATAATATATATATATTTAAATTATAAATAGTTAATAAGGTTAAAAGTAAAAATAAAAAGCCTTATAAGAAATTATAACTTATAATCTAAGGATATATAGATAATAGTAAAAAGGCTATTCTTATATAATTACCTATTATCTAATAGGCTAGCTAGTGCCTTATTTTTACTATTACTTTATTATTATTATATAATAATAGTTTTTTACTTTAGTTATATAATATTACCTAGGTATATACCTAGTTAACTATTTTATTAAACTATATTATTTTTACTTACTTTTTTATATAGATTTAGTACTTTTACCTAAAGAAGACTATTATATAGGTAGTAAAGCCTTTATATAGTATTATAAAGGTAAGTACTTACTAGTAAGTAATATATAGGTACTACTATAAAGAAAAGCTCTAGATAGTTACTTTAATATATAACCTATACCTACTAATTATATTACTAAAAAGCCTAGACTTTAAGGTTATTAGTATATAGACTAATAATACTATTACCTTTTTAAATAAACCTTTCTTTACCTATAAGGCTAATAAGCTTACTAAGGCTATATTTATAGCTAAAGAGAAGTAAATCTTTACTAGTAATAACTTTTTTATATTTAATAGTAGTATAGTCTTATTAACTACTAATAGTAAGCTACTACTTTACTAAAAAGGCTAAAGTAAAAGACTTTAGCTTATTAATAAAAAGTCTTTATAAGTAATAAAGTAATATATTAAATAATAAGTTTATAGTATATATATTATATTAGTTTACTAACCTAAAGCTTACTTTAACTACTTTATTATAGTATAACACTAATTACTTAGTATAAAAAAGATTAAGATATTTAATTAGTATTTTATTTAGTAAATAAATAACTTTAAATAAAGACTATTATTTTACCTACTTAACCTTAATATTATAAAACTCTTTATTTTTATTAATAGGTTATTTATAAATAATAAAGATTTAACCTTATAACTAAGGTTTATTATTATTCTAGTAAATAAAGCTATTATAAGTAATAATAATAATAATAGCTTTATAGTAACTAGTAATATTATTTACTTTAGCTTAATAAAGTATAAATAAGTAACCTAAAGTATATTAGCCTTAGAGATCTATAGTATAGTTACTAGTGCTAATATTACTTATATAATTAGTATAACCTTAGTAATAATAACTAACTACCTTAAGATTCCTTATATACTAACTATTTTTTATACTAACTTATACTTACTTTATAAGTACTTTATTAAGTTAGGTATAATAAAGAAAAAGAGGCTTATAATAAATATTATAGCCTTATAGTAGTTATATAAGTAATATAAAGTCTATAAAGTCTAATAAATCTAAGGTAATAATAAGCTTACTAATAGATTTATAAAGTTATTACTAAATAAAGTATTAGAGTAGCTAGTTAGTAATAAGACTATAAGGATTAGAATAAAAGGATAAGTTTTATATACTATATAATAGGTTATATAAACTAAAAGTATTATAATATTTTTAAGCCTTTAATTTTTATTATATTTTTAGGCTTTTTAGCTACTAGGTAGTATTTAGGTTATTTAGCTATTTCTCTTTATATAAGAAAGTTACTAGTGTTAAGATATTTATTACTACTAGAGAGTAAAGCTAATCTAAGGTTATATAACTAACCTTAGTAGCTTACTTACTTATACTTCTATAAATATCTATAGTAACTACTAACTTTAAACTTCTTTATATTAACCTTTATACCTCTTTTTATATTAATAGTAATATATACTATTTACTGCCTCTAGTTAACTAGCCTATAATACTAATAATTCTACCTATTAACCTAGGGGACTAATATCCTTATATTAATAGAGAGGGTTTTTTTATATAATGCTATTAATCTATTACTTACCTAGAGACTAGGTATCCCCTATAGTATTTAGGATACACTAGGTAAAGTCTTTAACTTATTAATAGGTTAGTAGTAGCCTAAGATTTACCTAGGTAGTTACCTAAGTTACTAAGCTAGCCTCTGAGGTATTAAATAGTTACTAGAGGTCTTTAAAAGTAGCTACCCTCTGTTACTAGCTATTTATATAATACTAGAGTATTAATTATAGTATACCCTATACCTTAGAGGCTACCTAGAAAGATATACTATTTATAATAGTTTTAGTGCTTCCTAGAGCTAATCTTTACTATATTCAACTATAGAGTATTGAAAAGTATGTCCTAAAGAGATAAAGTAAATTAATAAAGGTTAGAAAAAGTAGTAATTATTTAAAGATAGTAATATAGTGGTTAATAGGGTAGCTGGGCGGTATTTTTAGGTGGCCTATATGTAGGGGTGGCCTATAAGTAGGTGCTTTAACTTACCTCTTAAGGATAGATCCTAGGCGTCTACTTCTTCGGGACTAATTAATTTGGCTTAGGTTGATAGCTTAAATGTCCCTACTGATATTAGGCTGCAAATTCTTTCTAGTAGACTAACGAATAACCAGAGGATTTTCTCTTTAAGTGTTTAGGTGTTGCTACCGCTAAGCCACAAAACGTCTGCTAGTAAATTTACTAAAGTTATTGCGCGGGTTTACCTCTAGATTTCACACTCCAAAATTCAAAGCACTATCTTAGTTTTCTCTAAGTAACTGGTCATCTAGCTGCAGCTATCTTCAACCATAGTGAGATGTCATAGAGTCCTAGTCAGCAGATAATATGCCTAGCGACTGATGACACCCACGACGCTATGGAAGTATTTAAAGCCATAAGCCTGGGTGTAAACCCTAGAGATTATGCAGCTAGTTACCCCTTTGCGTTCTTCAACAGGGAATACTTTCAAGATGAGCCAGCAGCTTTGGAAGACTAGACAATGGTATAGTGTGCCTGGTTTGCCAAAGGACTTGGGGTCAAGACTTCTATAGGCTATTCTACAATGCCTACATCAAAGTATAATATACTGCTAATATTCTAATGATAAGAAACAAAGTTGTTGTAGAAGATAGCAACACATTGTACGCGATTTTCTGGGTTTACAATATTGGGCAAGAGAGCATAGGGCTCAAAGTCTACATTGACCTAGAAACACTAAGGCTAGCTAGAGGTTTGAAATTCACAGGAGAGACGTGGTCAGTTGTCCCAGGATAAGCTTAGATCAAACCTACAAGTTATGTTCGTGGATAGGAACGGCGGTGCGTTTCTTGTTCATTGTCGCCATGTCGCGATGCCTTCACGGCACGGCACAGCCTTGCGGGATGTTATCGGAATTAGAATACCTACTAGCATGTCCCCACATACCTAATTTACTCCGACGACACGTATATCTATTGCGCAGACTAGGCAGTCTTACAAGTAAATTATCCAACCCGTAAACAGTAAATGGCTTTTGCTATTGTTGACCGAAACTCAACACCAACCGGCAATAGATCCTTATGATACTTCTGTAGGCTTGAATGAAAAAAGCTTCGGAGGAAGCGGATGGGGAGGAAGACTATGACGAAGAAGAGGACGACTCTGGACGAGGCTACCCTCTTATTGATGGCAGCGATCACCGGTATGTTGGGTGGGTGTCTGCAACGACCTCTACGTGGGGATGCTACATGAATGGATGGCTAAACGAGACCTTTGATCACGTCGGCCGCTATTGCCGCTCACCCCCTATTGATCCTCGCGGCGATATGCCAATGCCTGGTTATAAAGGTATTGAACGAATAAGATGCTGGGAAAGCGGATCTACCAGACGTCCAAATGCAAACTGGAAACTTGATCAAGGTTATAATTGTCCGTTCTACACTACAAGACCTACCGTAGGTATCACAGTTTGCTTGTATTCGGGCACAGCTGTCCTGCAGGGTGAAGCAGTAAAATATCTTGTATTGCCGTTTCCCGAAAGAGAAGAAAGGAAAGATCACCACCAGCGACAAGGGGGGCTGGGCTTCATTCAGGTCTTCCCTGCTCTCAAGACCCATGAGCAGCATGGGATAACTGCGGATGCTTACTAACTTGGACGTCACAGGCGAAAGGGACGGAAGCCGGCCAGATTGGAGACCGGACCCGCTCACAGTGGAGAGGAGAGCCTACTCCAGTAAGATCTGCAACGCCATATACCTCTCGGCCTGCGGGTCTAGTCGAGTTCTGGACGACGAGTCAGTGGACAAGAGCATCCATTTAAGTACACTAGTGCCTGCTAACTTGCGGGGTTCTGACACGTCATTGGGACTTTGGGGAGCGTGGATGATACCTGCGGTATAGGTCAGCTAACTCTTAGTATTGACTAACAACATAGACGTTAAAAAGAAGGGGCAAAATAAGAAACATACAACACTGGGCATTCGCCGGTCGTCACCGACCCGACTACTACTCCAGCCCTCACTGGCTTATCTATGGGAGAGCGGACGGGATCCCGAGTTCTCCAGTGGGTATGGTCGTATGTGACGGGACGTGATCTCATAGCCTTGATATAGCCCTGGAACCCGTCTCCATCATCACAGGCTTGTAGTGTGTACTACCAGGTGCCGTCCGTTGTCTTTGCTCGGCATAGCAACTTTACAAGACCAAGACCGCCTCGTGAGATTCTAGTATAGATAAGTCTCTTGCCATCTTCGACATTATGCTTAGACCGCACGTCTCCCGCAGGTTGAATATGAGAATCATCAGTATGCTAGCATTGCTACGGCAAGTCATGCGTCGTTGCCAGGAGACGCTGACGATACATTGGCCAGTAAAGTTCTTCTGCCCATGATCGAAGATAATGCAAGGCTGCCAAGATTTTGCATATGCCATATGGGTTGCTCGTGGTTCCAATTGGGATCTTGTCGAAATATACTGATTGGAGGGGCGAGGTCCCGGGGATGGACGCCACAAAGAACCATTCATGCCCTTGGACAAATATGCCCGGAAGAAAGCCGACCGCGTCGCGCCATGGGGCCGGGTCAAGGTCCCGGAGGCTTCGCCACTGACACGCCTGCCAAGTCGCCATCTGCCATGTCCCCCTGACGGCATCTCCACCTTGAGCCTTAGTCTCGATGGACACGACAATGGGGTCTTGCATCAAATTGCCCCAGTCGGTGTGGTTTATAGAGTCACCGGGACGGCCGGCCTTTAACGTAGCAATGGCCCTCGCCTCGGCGCTTGTGGGGTCGGGACGGATGACCATGCAGTAGTCCACCATCGAAGAGGGGGTGTTGGCTGGCTTCCACGGCTTGACTACTCCAGCAGATGTACTGCAGGCCTTTGATGTTAGTCTCGCCGAGTCTCAACAGGTTACTATCAAGTACGACACGCACCAGTATCTAAAGTCAATGAAGCCTTCCTCATCGTCTGGGCGGCAAACCCACGAAAGCAACGGACCGTGAACCTCTTGGTTCCAGGAGGATTCCCCCTCTTGGTCGAAATCGCATCGCACAGCGCGACGATGAGTTCGAGCCACGAAGCCGCGTGAGGGATACCGGGTTAGTTGAAATCTAGCGCCTGAGGCGACGGCGAACGCATCGGGGGGTATACCGAGGGAGGATAGCTGTCAATGGTGGCACGAGTCAGCAAATGTCACACTTGAGGAGTGTCGCCGTGGCTGCAAGTACCTCGTCCCTGGCATCACCAGGCAAAATATGTCTTCCATTTCCAATGTGCACAACATCATCGCACATGGTTTGAAGGGCCGGCGGCATCATGTCCCTGTGCAGCGAGAAGTTGGCCCGAGTGAATCCCGTCTCTTCAGTGCGTGCTTTTCTGATTCTCTTGCTCGGAGATGACCTGCCAGAGGTCGATGGCGACCCCCGGCTGGCTGAGCTGCTGGTCTGGCTGGAAAGGTCATCACGCCGCGCAGCCTGGGCTAGCTTTCGTTGGAGCGCAGACGGCCGCGGCGTTGCAAACTCAAGGTCGTCTGTGACGCCGGCCTGCCAGATATTGTCGTCGCTTGGGTCCTGTTGTATGGGACTACTAGGCTCTTCGTCGCCGTCGTCTAGCGGGTGTTTGCTGGCCAAGGGCGCCATGTCTGAACTTGGGGGCGAGACGAGACAAGCTGGCAAGGTCGCTTCAACTACTCGGATTCGTTTCTGGGGAGGACTGCTGTCGTTATCGTCGTCGTCGTCGTTAAGGTTGGCACGTTTGCGCTCGACTGCCGGGGGACGGGCAATAGCACTGTCGAAGGCTTCGTGACAGTTCCTTGCGCAGGCAACAGCAGTAAGCCAGTTAACCACCGCATCAGTGCTGGAGTAAAGCATGCCGGAAATCCGAAAAGGTGATAGCCGCCGCTTTGGGGGCTGGTTAGAACATTTACGGCGTTGATGGCGATGTATGTTGGCTGTACCTATTTGGACCGAGTGCACGCAATGGGAGGCGGCGCGTTATTGTTTATAGCCCCTCCCTCGAGAGACTGGTTGCGAGGGACGACGCCGCGTCGAGTCGAGCCGGGGGTCTGTGCTTACGTCATTAGGTGTGGCGCGGCTCCCGGATTAAGGATAGACCGAGACCCACTCAAAGTCTGATAAGCGATAACAGGCAGTCGGGTGGCGGCGCCATCATTTCTCCGGCCGAGACAATATTATCCGTGTCTAATCCCCCGGTGCGCCCGCTCTCCCTCCGTCTCGTTCCTGATGCTGTCTAGATATGGCCGGGAGGACTTGTTCATGTCTATGAAGTCCTTGAAATGCTTGGCCTCTAAAATTATCTCCTGTGAAGAGTCGTAATCTGAGGTATTCTTGGCCTCGTATTCGGCGAGCGCAACGGCTGTTTGGAAGGCGTTGCGGATCTCGCGACCGTTCCAATCCGTACCCCCAACCACCTTGCGTGTCATAAAGGAACTTCTTGGCGCGATTGCCGACACGGATTGTCTCATTTCGCCCATAGTTGAGCTTCATCAGCAGACTGTCCCAGATATTTTCGCGTCGCACGCCATCGAGTGGGTGGAAGCCGATGATGGCATGGACACGAGACATGAAGGCGTCGTCGATGTGTCCGATCCGGTTGGTGGTGAGGAACAGAAGACCTCCAAAGTATTCCATTTTTCGTAAGAAGGCTGTTGGACACGTCAGGTTAGTAGCCATCACACGATGTTGTTGCACTCGCAATGTAAGTGTGCCTGAAACGATGGCGTTGCGTTTGATCATGTCGCCTGCGTGCGCAGCTTGGATATTGTCAAAGTGTGGCAATTGCCCATAAGCAAAAGTAGGCAAATGTTGCTGTCATTGGCTGGATAGATTTCCCCACTCAAAAGTGGCAGTTTAGATAACAAATACATAGGTTAAAAGGCTATAAATTCAAGGCTATAACCACAGTAAACTTACTAACAAATATATAATTAATATATACTTAATTAACTAGGATATACTATTATAATTAACTACTATATTTATACACTTTAATAATAAATAAAAAAGGCTAATAATTAATATTATAGTTTTATAGTAATTATATAAGTAATATAAAGTCTATAAAGTTAAATAGATCTAAGATAATAATAATCTAGCTAATAGCGTTATAAAGTTATTACTAAATAAGGTATTAAAGTAGCTTATTAGTAGTAAGACTATAAAGATTAATATAAAGAGATAAGTTTATATACTATATAATAAACTATATAAGCTAAAAGTTATATAATACTTATAGGTCTTTAATTCTTATTATATTTTTAGACTTTTTAGCTACTTGTTAGTATTTATATTATATAGCTATCTCTCTTTACTTAAGAAAGTTACTATTATTAAATATTTATTACTAGTAAAAGATAAAGCTAATCTAAGATTATATAACTAACTAGTATTTTTAACTAGTTTTTAAAACTATTAAGAATTATTTTATTGATATAATATTTTTAAAATATATTTTATATAATATTATATAAGATATACTAACTATTATTTAAATAAATTCTTTAGAGTAGTAAAGAAATAATATAGAATAATTCCTTATTTTATCTATATTAGCTAGAAAATACTTAGCTATACCTCCTACTTCTACTATAGTAAGAAGTAGCTTCAACTAGTCTAGTAATATTATTACTAAAAGAAGAACTAATTTAACTAATAATACTAAAAAAAGATTAATACTTTTAAAAGACTAGTAATAATCTAGTAATTTAGAGAGTTTAGATAGCTCTTTCTATATACCTAAGATATATAGTAGTAGAAAGGTGTAAGGCAGAAGGGACCTAAGTAGTGTAGTAGTCTAAAGAGAAACACTAATAACCTCTAAGGTAACACAAGATGCTCCCTTAATTAGTTAGAGACTTACCTTAATTAGAGTATTAAGTCTTTTAGATCTAGGGCAAGTAATACCTTAATTATAAGAAGAGACTATCTAATTAAAGGAAGTCTTATTATAATTAAAGGGGTAAGACTCTTAATTATCTTATATTATTATACTTAATTAGCTTACTAATAAGAGATTTATAGTTTAATTTAATTAAAAGGTAGGTTTAGGAAGAAGAAAAAGGGGTTTATTAAAGTTTTATCTATATAATTAGTCTTCTTTATATAGGCTTTTACTTAATTAAACTACCTACTTTTCTTTTTAACTTATCTTTTAACTTCTAATTAGCTTAAATTAATCTTTAAATTACTTTACTTTATTTTAATTATCTTTTAGTTTTTTTTTCTTAGCCTCTAAAAAAGAATATATAGAATAAAGAATTTAACCTTAACTAAGTACTTATTAGTCTATATTTACTTTCTATTATTTTTCTTTTTTTTAGCTTAAGATTTTTTTTTTTTATTTACTTTATCTTATTTTAATCTAGTGTTATAGTATACTTATCCCTCTTATTTATTTAGTTGTAATAAAGGTACCTAAGAAGTATCTTTAGAACTATAAGCTACTTTATTAATTAGGTTATTATATTAATTTACTTATTATAATTATAAGTACTTTATAATATTTAGTATATCCTTAATCTTAGAGTATTATTTAAGTATATTAGTATATCTTTTAGTAGCTTTAGCTTATATAATTAAACTTTTTTTTACTTAACATATATATATAGTAAGCAGTATATTATAGTAAGTAGTATATATCTTCCTTATTTCTACTATCTTTATCTTTATCTTAACTTTACTTTATATATAATAATAAAATCTTCTCCTTAAGAAACCTAGATTATCTTTACACTTATAGCTATTAAAGAAGACTTAGAACTATTTATATAAAAGGTAGCCTCTATCTATTAGCTACCTAAATCTATACTTTATTATTAGTGCGCTAGCTAATATTTATAAAGTAAAATATATATAAATTTAATAAAGATAACTATATTAGAAGAGAAAGTAATTCTTAAAAAGGTTATTAACTTAATTAATTAAGGGTTTTCTCTATAATAAGAAGATATATAAGAAATAGCTAATTAACTCCTTAATATATATAATAAGACATATATTAGACCCTAATAAGTAAAGAACTTTATATAGTAATAACCTTAATTAAAAATATAATTTTAATATTAGATTCACTATTAGAGGGCCTTAGCTAAGGATTCTATAATTATATAAGGCTAGTTTATACTTATATAAAATATAATTATAAAGTATAAAATATAATATTATAATATCTATAATTTTAATAAGACTAGGTTCCTAATAAGAATACTATTATATATAAAGGTTATTATAACTTCTAATTATAAGAGAAGGCCTTATATAAAGTAGCCTAGTAATTATAAATAAGTTTTTATTATTTAGGGTATATATATAAATAGCTAAGTAATACCTTTATATATTATTATAAAAAGTAAATATTACTTTTTATTATAGTACCTTAATAATAAATTTCTAGCTATATAGTGTATTTAGTTAAGTAAAAATAAATAAACTATAAATAAAATTAGCCTAGATTAGCTAAAGCACTTTAATTACTATATAAAGTCTTATATAAAGAGTACTTACTACCTTCTAATCCTAGATAGCTATAATAGCTATAAATTAACTAAACTTAATAACTACTATAAAGAAAAAAAGATTATTACTTTATATATACTTTTTTACTTATTATATAAGCTTTAGCCTTTTAATATTAGCTATTTTAGCCCTTTAAAGCACTTATATAGTAAAAAGATTAAGAAAATAATATAGATATAAATTATATATATTAGTTTCTACTAGTTAGTTAATAAAGAATCCTTATCTTATAATATTATAAAGGTTAAGAAAAAGTAGTTAATTATTATTATTATTAGGTAACTAGTTATAAAGTAAAGTAAAAGTATAAGTGTAGTACTACCCTTACGCATAGGCAAAAGTAAAAGATACTCCTAGTAGACAGTATATTATATAATATACCTCTTCTAGCTATATTACCTATATACTAACACTAGTAACTTTCTTATATAGTAAAAGTTACTAGTGCTCCTGTTCCTCCTAAAAAGCCTAAAAAACATAATAAAAATAAGAAAGTAAAAGTATTATACTTTTTATAGTTATATACTACAATAAATTTATTTATCTATTACCTAGTAAAGGTAGGCTTATACTATCTTATTTAGGTATATTTCTCTTTAGCTATAGCTATTAAAGGTATATACTTACATTAAATAGATTTAACTACTATTAATTTATATAGTTTATATAATCTATTTCTCCTTTAAGTACTTATTATTCTATATTCTATTATTTTTATTATTTTTTATTATATTTATATAACTTATCTCTTTATTTATATTTTTACTTTATTATAAAAAATAAGGCTCTTAAGTACTTAGTTTAGTAAGGACTTTATAAACCTATTAGTAAGGTTACTATTACTATAGATCTATTATACCTTGAAGAGCTTATATTACTTATATAATTATTATAGTACTATAATATTAATTATTAAGCGCTTCTTATAGGTAGTACTTAACTTTACTAGGCACTTATATAGTAAGTATAAGTTAGTATAAGTAATAATAAAGATTAATAAGTTACTAAGCTTATTTACTACTATTATAATAGTTATAAAAAAAGTATATACTATATTAATACCTATAATTATACTATAGACTTCTAATATAAGAATACTTTATATTACTTATTTAGATTTAGTTAATAAAAAATAAAGGATATTACTATAAAAAGTAAACTTACTTTACTTATTATTAATCTTTTAATTAATAAAAAAGATAATAAATCTTAACTATAAAGTTAAGTTATAATTATTAGTAAAAAATCTATTAATAAATATAAAGAGCTTTATAGTAAGTAAGTTAAAAAGAAAAAACGTAAAGCTATAGTTAAGTAAATTTATTTACTATTAGATTCTTTAGTTAAGTTACTAAATAGCTTTACTATCTAGCTCTTTATACTAGGCTATAGTAAATAGGTTAAAGTATACTTTAGGCTAATAAATAAAAGTAACATATATACCTTAAGTGTACTATTAGATATAGTCTTACTAGGCTATAGGCATAGAGTTTAAAAAAAATATAAAATATAATATAATATAAAAATATAATATAAATATAATATAATATAATATAAATATAATATATCTATTTGTATTATATTATATAAGAGAGATAATATATGTATTTGTATTTATATTATATTATATTTATATTATATTTTATATAATATACAACTATATAATATAAAAAATAAAAATAATTAAAATTAGTAAATTAACTATATATAATATTACTTAATTTTTATATATAGTATAGTATTATTTATATATTTTACTTAAAATATTATATACTTAAAAGCTAAGATTTAGTAATAACTATTAAGCACTATATTAATATTAAATATAACGTAATACTAAATTTATTAATATATAGTATAATAAGTATAATTTATTAATATATTTAACTATACTAAAGTTATTATAAATAACTATTTATATAATAACTAGCAATATTATAACTTACTTTATAATAACTAACTAAAGTATAACTAGCTATTTAATAACTAACTATAATATAACTATTAATAATATAACTAACTATATAATAAGTAACTTTAAAATAACTTATAATATAATAAATAACTAAATTATAACTAACTATAAAATAACTAATAATAGTAGTATTCATATAGTTTATTATAACTAATATAGTATATAGTCTTATATTTTAAGTAAAATATAAGTAGAAGTAAAAATAAAATAATAATTAAGAAAAAAGTAAAAATAGAATATTTTTTACTACTCTAAAGAGTATATATACTTGTCTTACTATAAGTAAATACCTTATAAAAAAGTATATTAATTATATATTATAACTATAGAATATAAATATATACTATAACTATTAGTATAAGCTATTTCTAGAGAATATAGCTATATACTATACCTATAAACTATTTATATAAACTATAAATATATAATATAACTATAAAGTATACTTATAAAGTTTAATAAAT